CACTTCATCTTCTGCCATCTCCAAGCCACCAGTGTCCAACAGACTACTGAATACTTCCCATACTCATTTGTTTATTCACCAATTCAGAGCCCACCTTGTTATCAGCACTGAGCTAGTCTCTCCTTGCTAGAAACTTACGGTCAAAGGTCTGTAGCCATCAGAAGAAGCACGTGGAGTGCCCTGTCTGTGTTGTGGTTATTCCTCTAGCATGCACAGAGTAAGGATTTCTCCTGTGCCTGGCATCATGCATTGAGTGGGGAGATGGGGGTTGGCATGCACACTGGGGGTTTGGGTGCTCTGCCTTATAGAGCAGGGAGGGAGGCAGGAGAGGAGAGGAGAGGCACAAGCATGGAAGGTGTCGCAGGGAACATGTCTCAGAAGTGCCATCTTTTTTTTTTTCTTGAGATGGCATCTTGCTCTGTCACCCAGTCTGCAGTGTAGTGGCGCAACCTCAGCTCACTGCAGCCTCCGCCTCCCAGGTTCAAGCAATTCTTATGCCTCAGCCCCCAGGTAACTGGAACCACAGGCACGCACTACCATACCTGGGAAATGTTTTGTATTTTTAGTAGAGACAGAGTTTTGCCATGTTGGCCAGGCCGGTCTTGAACTCCTGGCCTCAAGAGATCCACCCACCTCAGCCTCCCAGAGTGCTGGGATTACAGGCTTGAGCCACTACACCCAGCCTAGAAGTGCAATCTGAACTGAACGTGAAAGATGAACGTTCTCCAGATAAACCTGAAAGTTCTCCAAATGAAAAGGTAGGAGGGGGTGATAGGGTTAGGCCCAGAGCTGCTGGTCACACAGGGTGGGCATCATTGGTCACACTGGTGATAAGGTAGGAGCTATAACCATGTTGATAGTGTCACCTCTTTCCATCTGTGCTGGCATACCCTAAGCGCTCCATGCCCACCTCTGGAACACATCAGCCCTGAGAGCCCAGCTCAGGCCTTTCTCCTCCAGCCCACCCACTTCTAATTATCCACACCCCTGTGCTTCCACTGTGCCTTGAACAAGCTTTCTTTAGGGGAAGGGAGCTGGAACTATGTTGTTGTTACCTATTTGTTCCCTCTTCCAAACTGTGAGCCTTGGAGGTAGAAGGATGCAGGGTCTAGCCCAGGATGAAGGCAGTTGGACAGACATGCACGTTTGTGACTCAGTGATCTCGAACTTCCATTTTTTTTCCATCTGTAACACTCAAGAGTTGAATAGGTAGTTTTTCTGAGGTTACTTCAACTCTTAAAATGTATGAACTTACAAACTAGGTATTTAGTTCTCCTCATAATCAAGATTGTGTGTGGCAGGGGTCTGATTAGAGGGAGGATGAGGAGGGGGGTATGGTTTTGGGCTTTTGTTGTGTTTTGTTTTGTTGGTTTTTTTGAGATGGAGTCTCACTCTGTCTCCCAGGCTAGAGTGCAGTGGCGCGATCTCAGCTTACTGCAACCTCTACCTCCTGGGTTCAAGTAATTCTCTTGTCTCAGCCTGCGGAGTAGCTGGGATTACAGGCACCCACCTCCATGCCCAGCTAATTTTTGTATTTTTAGTAGAGATGGAGTTTTGCCGTGTTGGCCAGGCTGGTCTCAATCTCCTGACCTCAAGTGATCCATCAACCTTGGCCTCCCAAAGTGCTGGGATTACAGGAGTGAGCCACCGTGCCCGGCCTGCCCCTCAGTCTTTTCCTTCTCAATCAGTGGCACCACCATCTTCCCAGGCTTTGGAAATGGTCCCTGACTCACCTCTGCCCCTCACCCCCACACCAATCCACCAGCGAGCTCTATTGCTTCACCACCTGGACCAGCCCCACATCCTCAGCTGCTCCTACCCTAGGCCACACCTGGACCACAGCTAGCGGCCTCTCATGGATTCTCCCTGTTTTTCTCTTGCACTCCCTGGGCTTTCTGGCACAAGATGCCCCAGAACCAGAATCACATGTCTCTCCTAGGAGCCAATTCAGTGGGTTTACTGTCCCTGGAGTGTCATTGTTGGCCTTAGACTATGTCCGAGTGCAGGTTTCCAGAGCAATGTAGTCAAAAGTTACTTGAAATAAATATTTGCTCTGTGGTATTGACAATTTGGTATAGAATTAAACTTGTTTGGCTGGGCGCAATGGCTAACACCTGTAATCCCAGCACTTTGGGAGGCCAGGGCGGGTGGATCATGAGGTCGGGAGTTCAAGACCAGCCTGGCCAAGATGGTGAAACCCTGTTTCTACCAAAAATACAAAAATTAGCTGGGTGTGGTGGCAGGCGCCTGTAATCCCAGCTACTCGGGAAGCTGAGGCAGGAGAATGACTTGAACCTGGGAGGTGGAGGTTGCAGTGAGCTGAGATCGTGCCATTACATTCCAGCCTGGGCAACAAAGCAAGACTGTCTCAAAAAAAAGAAAAAGGAGACAGGGTCTCACTCTGTCACTCAGGCTGGAGTGCGGTGATGTAGCCTCAGACTTCGGGCTCAAGTAATCCTTCTGCCTCAGTCTCCCAGAATGCTGGGATTGTAGGCTGAAGCCACCATGCCTGGCCCAAGCTCATTTGTTTGTATTTGCATTCAGTGTAATGAGGTTTTGTTACTTTTTGAATTTTATTTGGGGTAATATAAACTTTTACATGATTCAGAAGTCAGAATGACACTGATTCAGCTAGGTCTCACTCCTGTGCCTGTACCCTCACCTTGTTCCCACTGCCCCATGCAGGGAGCCAATTTCATTAGTTCCTGGTGTGTCCTTCCTTAATCCCCCTTTCTTACCTCGGTATCATGCAGTAGATATGTTTCCACTTTGCTCCTTTTGCTTCACAGCGGATCCTGGAAATCGCTCCATCACAGCGTTTAGAACTCTTGTTTAGTCCCTTTGGAGCTGGGCAGTACTCCAGTGTGTGGGTGTACCATAGTTTATTCAATAAGTGCCCTGGTGATAGGGATCTGAGGGGTTGTAGCGTTTGGCTGGTAAAAATAATGCTGTAGCAAATAATGTCATGCATATGTTCTTTGAGATTTTTGGAGGTGTCTCTTAGCATAGATTTCTAGAAGGCATTCCTTAGGTCATATTTAGGTTTATACTTTGACCTCATGGTGATTAGGGTATTTGGGAATGCAAATGAGAGTTTCAAAGAAGCCAGATCTTTCCCAGTAGCTCACTGTTTTTCTCTGACATCAGGACCGTCCAGGTTCCAAGGAACAGCTGTGGCATTAGGCAGTGCCATGATGGATTGTGTGGAAGTACTGATTCCTGTCTGTCTGCTCTCTTGGCCTTCTCTCCATTCTTTATGGGGAACTGCCTGGGGGGCCATTCTCAAAGGCTGATCTTGGATGGGCCACAGGCCATACTTAGCTCCCCAGTGTTCTTTGTCATTTCACATTGAGAGCTCTGTGCTGGAACAGATTAGGGGCCCCCACTTTACAGCAAGAAAGACTGCTCTGTGGGTTGTAGGATGCCTCTTAATATGCAGTGACTCGGCAGCTACACCTTGGGCCCTAAACTGCTGGAGGAAGATACAGGATTGGGAGGAACTCAGGGGGGAGTTATAGTGGGGACAAGACATTCCCTCACTCTAAGACCTCGTCGCTAGATTGGAGCTGCTGTTGCCTCCTTATACCTGACCTGACGGTTCTGGAGAGGTATGTCCTTGTAGCTTCTGAGTCCCAGTGCTAACCAGCCTTCAGTAACTTCCCTACATCATTTGAGCCCTGGTTTCCCAAGTATGCTTGCCAGTGTGTGCCATGGTGCCCTCACTGAACAGTCTGTGCAGTGTAGACAAGAGGGAAAGTCTCTTGGGGTAGACCAGCCACAAGATGGTGACCAGCACTGATGAACCACATGGGACAGGGGAGTTGTGGGGCTGAGAACCCGGAGGGCAGGAGTAGTCAGGCTCTTTTCCAGAATGAACGCTAATGAAGGGACTCGCAGGTGGCTGCTGCTTTCTAAGCTGTCCCGGTTGTTGCTGAGGCTCTGCAGTCCTAGGAGGTTTCATGGTGGCATACTAGACAGGTTAGTAAAGCATCATGGCCAGACACTGATTCTGGGGCCTGGGGCTTTACGGTGGCCATTTCTGAAGAGACCCTACCAGGCCAAAGTGATGTGCAGAAAAGAGCTGCTTCTGTCACCAGAAAAGAATGGAAGGACTCCCACCCTAGAATAGGAAGGGTGCCTTTCTGCACCAGCAGGAAGGGGACACATTGCTCTGCCTGGACCACACCTTTTTCCTTGCTCTTCCCTCTGCATCTGTTGTGGCTGAGGCCATTCCTTGTCAGGAAACGTCTTGTGTTAAAGGCTCGCGCCACCTAGGAGCACTTCTCTTATCACCCCAGAACTCTGGGTGGCAGTTTCTTGTGGCCTGAGTTAGCCGTTATTTATATAGTGCCATTGTGCCTTTTCTCCCATGATGCTCACAGTAAGGATGCCCAGATGGGTTTACCCATTGTCAAGATAAGGAAACGGAGGCACAGAAGGCTGAGGTCGGTTGCTGGGGTTCATGTTTGGAAAGTGGCAAAGGATTTGAGTGCAGTTTGGCTGGCTCCAAACCTGTGCTTTCCCCAACACTACTGTGTGCCTCATTGAATATTTGTTCTAGAAAACCAAAAAGACGCCCAAGCCCTGGCCTTCACAAAGGAGACCCCGACCCCCATTTGACTCCCTTTCCAGCATTCGAAGGCCTCTTGTCAGGCATCGAGCCCAGAGGCCCATGCTAGGGTGGGATGCTCAGGAGCCACGCAGTGTTTCCGCTCAGAGGAAAGGACTCCAACTCTTCTGCAATGCCAGGAGTGAGACTTGCAGGTGGCCACAGTGCAGGTCAGCCATGCCGGCAAGCACCACCAGGGCCCGAGTTCCTAAAAAAATAGTTGGGTCCCAGCTTGGCCGGAGGCCCTGTTGTCCTGGGGAAGGACATCAAGATCTGAGTGTATGATGGCCTGGGGCCTTGCATGTGGTGGGGGTCCAAGCCTGCCTCTGCTCATTTATTCTGCAGACTGGCATGTTCTTTGTGATACTTACATACTTGTTTAACACTTCAGGGAAGAAAAGTCAGAAGACCAGGATCTCCAGGGCCTCAAGGACAAGCCCCTCAAGTTCAAAAAGGTGAAGAAAGATAAGAAAGAAGACAAAGAGGGCAAGCATGAGCCCGTGCAGCCACCAGCGCACCACTCTGCCGAGCCCGCAGAGGCAGGCAAAGCGGAGACGTCAGAAGGGTCGGGCTCCGCCCCAGCCGTGCCAGAAGCTTCTGCCTCCCCCAAACAGCGGCGCTCCATCATCCGTGACCGGGGACCCATGTATGATGACCCCACCCTACCTGAAGGCTGGACACGGAAGCTTAAGCAAAGGAAATCTGGCCGCTCTGCTGGGAAGTATGATGTGTATTTGATTAAGTAAGTAAGAGCAACTCCTGTCTCTACAGGGCAGGGAGGGCAGAGACAGGGATCTCATGCAGCAGGAAAATGTATGTGCCTAACCCCACAACGGGGGCGGCGGGGGGGGGACCATAAACAATGAACACCAAGACCAGGTATGCTTGAAATGGCTGTGTGCAGAAGTCAATGTCCTCTGTCCTCTCCACACCTCGAGTGCTTGTCTGGAGATGGAATAGCTGCGGAAGCAGAGAAACTTGCAGAGCCAGGGGTTCTGAGGAGGAGTGAAGAAGCATGTTTCTGTTGTGCCCCTTAAATGATCCCAAAAAGGTTAGCAGTTTTCACATGACATTGGCAGATAGCCTCATTTAATTCCATAACCCTGAGAAGAGTGAGCAAAGGATTATCTTGTTGAAACTGATTCCCAGCCAGGCGCGGTGGCTCACGCCTGTAATCCCACACTTTGGGAGGCTGAGGCGGGTGGATCACGAGGTCGAGATCGAGACCATCCTGGTCAACATGGTGAAACCCCGTCTCTGCTAAAAATACAAAAAATTAGCTGGGCATGGTGGCGCGTGCCTGTAATCCCAGCTACTCAGGAGGCTGAGGCAGGAGAATTGCCTGAACCCAGGAGGCGGAAGTTGCGGTGAGCCGAGATCGCGCCATTGCACTCCAGCCTGGGTAACAAGAGTGAAACTCCGTCTCAAAAAAGAAAAAAGGAAACTGATTCCCAGAGAGTCTGAGCACCATACCCAAGTTCAGAATTAGGAATGTTGTTGATGGTGACTCAGGCCCAGGCACCAAGCAGCAGAATGGGCCTCAGTCTAACAGCCCCTCTGTACCAGGCCTGACTCTTTGGTTGCTGGACTTTGGAGAGGCCTGGGGAGTCAGGGACAGGCAGACGAGCGAGTGGCTTTGGTGATAGACAGATCCTCAGGGGCAGCCAGGCAGTGTGACTCTTGTTCAATAGTAACATTTACCAGAGTGTTGTCACCACCATCCGCTCTGCCCTATCTCTGACATTGCCATGGGGAGCCTCTAATTGTTTTTTTGTGTCTTTCCATTTGTCCTCACAGTCCCCAGGGAAAAGCCTTTCGCTCTAAAGTGGAATTGATTGCATACTTCGAAAAGGTAGGCGACACATCCCTGGACCCTAATGATTTTGACTTCACGGTAACTGGGAGAGGGAGCCCCTCCCGGCGAGAGCAGAAACCACCTAAGAAGCCCAAATCTCCCAAAGCTCCAGGAACTGGCAGAGGCCGGGGACGCCCCAAAGGGAGCGGCACCACGAGACCCAAGGCGGCCACGTCAGAGGGTGTGCAGGTGAAAAGGGTCCTGGAGAAAAGCCCTGGGAAGCTCCTCGTCAAGATGCCTTTCCAAACTTCACCAGGGGGCAAGGCTGAGGGAGGTGGGGCCACCACATCCACCCAGGTTATGGTGATCAAACGCCCCGGCAGGAAGCGAAAAGCCGAGGCCGACCCTCAGGCCATTCCCAAGAAACGGGGCCGAAAGCCGGGGAGTGTGGTGGCAGCCGCTGCTGCCGAGGCCAAAAAGAAAGCCGTGAAGGAGTCTTCTATCCGATCTGTGCAGGAGACCGTACTCCCCATCAAGAAGCGCAAGACCCGGGAGACGGTCAGCATTGAGGTCAAGGAAGTGGTGAAGCCCCTGCTGGTGTCCACACTTGGTGAGAAGAGCGGGAAGGGACTGAAGACCTGTAAGAGCCCCGGGCGGAAAAGCAAGGAGAGCAGCCCCAAGGGCCGCAGCAGCAGCGCCTCCTCGCCCCCCAAGAAGGAGCACCACCACCATCACCACCACTCAGAGTCCCCAAAGGCCCCCGTGCCACTGCTCCCACCCCTGCCCCCACCCCCACCTGAGCCCGAGAGCTCCGAGGACCCCACCAGCCCCCCTGAGCCCCAGGACTTGAGCAGCAGCGTCTGCAAAGAGGAGAAGATGCCTAGAGGAGGCTCGCTGGAGAGCGACGGCTGCCCCAAGGAGCCAGCTAAGACTCAGCCCGCGGTCGCTACCGCCGCCACGGCCGCAGAAAAGTACAAACACCGAGGGGAGGGAGAGCGCAAAGACATTGTTTCATCCTCCATGCCAAGGCCAAACAGAGAGGAGCCTGTGGACAGCCGGACGCCCGTGACCGAGAGAGTTAGCTGACTTTACGCAGAGCGGATTGCAAAGCAAACCAACAAGAATAAAGGCAGCTGTTGTCTCTTCTCCTTATGGGTAGGGCTCTGACAAAGCTTCCCGATTAACTGAAATAAAAAATATTTTTTTTTCTTTCAGTAAACTTAGAGTTTCGTGGCTTCAGGGTGGGAGTAGTTGGAGCATTGGGGATGTTTTTCTTACCGACAAGCACAGTCAGGTTGAAGACCTAACCAGGGCCAGAAGTAGCTTTGCACTTTTCTAAACTAGGCTCCTTCAACAAGGCTTGCTGCAGATACTACTGACCAGACAAGCTGTTGACCAGGCACCTCCCCTCCCGCCCAAACCTTTCCCCCATGTGGTCGTTAGAGACAGCAGTTGAGAGGACACTCCCTTTTTCGGTGCCATCAGTGCCCCATCTACAGCTCCCCCCACCTCCCCTACTCCCAACCATGTTGGGACAGGGAGGTGTGAGGCAGGAGAGACAGTTGGATTGCTTAGAGAAGATGGATATGACCAGTGGCTATGGCCTGTGCGATCCCACCTGTGGTGGCTCAAGTCTGGCCCCACACCAGCCCCAATCCAAAACTGGCAAGGACACTTCACAGGAAAGGAAAGTGGTACCTGTCTGCTCCAGCTCTGGCATGGCTAGGAGGGAGTCATCCCTTGAACTACTGGGTGTAGACTGGCCTAAACCACAGGAGAGGATGGCCCAGGGTGAGGTGGCATCGTCCATTCTCAAGGGACGTCCTCCAGTGGGTGGCTCTAGAGAGGCCATGGAGGCAGTAGGACAAGGTGCAGGCAGGCTGGCCCGGGTCGGGCGAGGCCGAGCACAGCGGGCTGAGAGAGATTCCTAATCTCTCAGAGCAGTCTGTGACTGGTAGTTAGGAACTTAGTGGACAGGGGAGGGGGTAAGGGGGGAGGAGAAGAAAATGTTTCAGTTACTTTCCAATTCTACTCCTTTAGGGACAGCTTAGAATTATTTGCACTATTGAATCTTCATGTTCCCACTTCAAAACAAACAGATGCTCTGAGAGCAAACTGGCTTGAATTGGTGACATTTGGTCCCTCAAGCCACCAGATGTGATGGCGTTGAGAACTACCTGGATTTGTATATATATACCTGCGCTTGTTTTAAAGTGGGCTCAGCACATAGGGTTCCCACGAAGCTCCGAAACTCTAAGTGTTTGCTGCAATTTTATAAGGACTTCCTGATTGGTTTCTCTTCTCCCCTTCCATTTCTGCCTTTTGTTCATTTCATCCTTTCACTTCTTTCCCTTCCTCCTCCTAGTTCATTCCTTCTGTTCCAGGCAGCCACAGTGCCCAACCACACTTGTCGGCTCCAGTCCCTAGAACTCTGCCTGCCCTTTGTCTTCCTGCTGCCAGTACCAGCCCCACCCTGTTTTGAGCCCTAAGGAGGCCGTGGGCTCCACCGAGTCTGACCTGGCCTGTCTATGAAGAGCAAGAGAGCAGCAAGGTCTTGCTCTCCTAGGTAGCCCCCACTTTCCTGGTAAGAAAAAGCAAAAGGCATTTCCCACCCTGAACAATGAGCCTTTTCATCCTTCTACTCTAGATAAGTGGACTGGAGGAACTGGGCCAGATTTGGTAGCTGAGGAAAGCGCAGAGGCCCCCTATGGCCTGCCAGTCATCGAGTAGCCCAACAGGGGCTCCGTGCCACCTGACCTTGACCTCACTCAAGTCCAGAGTCTAGCGTAGTATACAGCACGGCAGCAGCGGTACCGATGCAGAACTCTTGAGACCAGAGCTGGGACCAGCACCTAGGTCCCTGTCCCTTCTCTGCTCCCCCTTTTCCCTCAGAGTTCTTTTCTAATGGAAATGTTTTGCTTTTGCTTAATGCAGTGGGGCCAGAACACCACACATTTCACTATCTGTTCCATAGGTGTGGTGTAGGGGCTTAGAGGCGTGGGCTTGCTGTGGGTTTTTAATTGATCAGTTTTCATTTGGGATCCCATCTTTTTAACCTCTGTTCAGGAAGTCCTTATCTAGCTGCATATCTTCATCATATTGGTATATCCTTTTCTGTGTTTACAGAGATGTCTCTTATATCTAAATCTGTCCAACTGAGAAGTACCTTATCAAAGTAGCAAATGAGACAGCAGTCTTATGCTTCCAGAAACACCCACAGGCATGTCCCATGTGAGCTGCTGCCATGAACCGTCAAGTGCGTGTTGTCTCGTGTATTTCAGTTACTGTCCCCTGGCTTCCTTACTGCGGTGTAATCATGAAGGAGTGAAACATCATAGAAACTGTCTAGCACTTCCTTGCCAGTCTGTAGTGATCAGGAACCATAGTTGACAGTTCCAATCAGTAGCTTAAGAAAAAAAAATGTGTGTGTCTCTTCTGGAATGGTTAGAAGTGAGGGAGTTTGCCCCATTCTGTTTGTAGAGTCTCAAAGTTGGACTTTCAAGCATTTATGTATCCATTTCCTTATGCTGTAAAACAAGTCCTGCAACCAAACTCCCATCAGCCCAATCCCTGATCCCTGATCCCTTCCACCTGCTCTGCTGCGGAACCCTCCCCCACCCCCACAGCTTCACTTCTGACTCTTCCCCAGGAAGGGAAGAGGAGTCGGAGGAGAGGGTGAGTCCTCTAGACTCTTCCTCCAAGGACAAAAGGCTCCTGCCCCCACAGTGGCCTCACACTCCTGGCACCACCAAAGGACACTTATCCACAAGAGTGCAGCATCCAACCAGGTTGTCACTGAGAAGATGTTTATTTTGGTCAGTTGGGTTTTTATGCATTATTAGTCCAATGAAATGTGGCTTCTGGACTCAGTGTCAGGAGCTGCTTCCCCATCAGCTGGGTGTCATCTGGTCCTGGTAAGAGGAGTGTGGGGCCCACCAGGCCTTCTTGTCACCCATGAGAGTTCATTCAGGGCCAATTGGGCAGTCATGGTTGGAAACACAGCATTTCAAGTGTCACTTACTTTCATTCGGGCCCCACCTACAGCTCCCTCGCTCCCCAGCTGCTTTCCCTTCAAGTTTGTTCCAGAGCTGCCAGTGGGGCCTGAGGCTCCTTAGGGTTTTCTCTCTGTTTCCCCCTTTCTTCCTCATTCCCTCTTCTTTCCCAAATAAAGGTATCACAAGTCAGTCACCTTTCAGCAGACTGCCTTGGTGGTTTATCGCCCTGGCAGGCAGGGGCCCTGCAGCTCCCACGCTGCCCCTGCCTTGGGGTCAGGTTGACAGGCGGTTGGAGGGAAAGCCTTAAGCTGCAGGATTCTCACCAGCTGTGTCCGGCCCAGTTTTGGGGTGTGACCTCAATTTTGTCTGTACTTGAACACTATGAAGATGGGGGCCTCTTTTGATGAATTTGTGAAAATAGAAGAATTGACCGACAGCTTTCCAGTACCTGTGGGGCTAGGTCATTAATGTCAGACCCACAGTATCCCCCACTGTTGTTACCAGTTGTTAGTTACTACCTCCTCTCCTGACAATACTGTATGTCCTCGAGCTCCCCCAGGTTTACCCCTCCCAGCCCTGCCTGGTGGTGGGCTTGTCATAGCCAGTGGGATCGCCAGCCTTGACAGCTCAGTGAGCTGGAGATACTTGGTCACGGCACTAGCACAGCTCCCTTCTGCTGATGATGTATTCCCGTATCAAAAGGCACAGGGGACACCCAGAAATGCCACATCCCCCAGTCCATCAGTGCCAAACTAGCCAAGGGCCCCAGCCTCTCGGCTCACTGGATGGCAGAAGCTGCAACTTGTGAGAGCCGATGCGGGTGCAGACAATCGTCTGTTGAGTGGCATCATTCCAGGCCTGAGGCATGAACAGTGCGCCAGGGACAGGGAGCAGCCCCTAATTGTCACCTGCTTCTCTGTCCAGCTTTTCATTGCTGTGACAGTGATGGCAAAAGAGTAATAACCAGACACAAACTGCCAAGTTTGGTGGAGAAAGGAGTTTCTTTAGCTGACAACCTCTGAATGTTGAATCACTTAGTAAGCGGCTCAAGCCCAGGAGGGAGCAAAAGGATATCAGCGGAGTCCCCTGGGTGGGACCATCTGGATTTTGTTTAGCCCAAGTGGAGCCTGACAGCCAGAACTCTGTATCCCCCTCTAACCACAGCTCCTTTTCCAGAGCATTCCAGTCAGTTTCTCTGGGCTGACTGGGCCAGGGTGGTCACAGGTACCAGTTCTTTGAGAAGACCGTTGGGATCCGTTTTTAGCCTGTCATTGCCCCAAATGGATTCCTGTTTCAAGTTCACACCTGCAGATTCTAGGACCCATGTCCTAGACTTCGGGGAGTGAGCTGTTTCTAGAGCCTCTGCCCTGGAGGGGATCTGGAGGACCTGCCCAGTGGGGGACAGAGCCCTGCTCCCTCCATATCTTTCTGCTCTTCTTTCTGCTCTGCTCTGAAGGGATTTGTTTATTCTCTGCATTTTGGTGTCTTTCTCTTTTAGATATTGTATCAGTCTTCAGAAAAGGCATCGTCTACTTGTTATAAATCACTAGGATACTGCCTCCCCCAGGGTCTAAAATTACATATTAGAGGGGAAAAGCTGAACACTGAAGTCAGTTGTCAACAATTTAGAAGGAAAACCTAGAAAACATTTGGCAGAAAGTTACATTGCAATTTTTTTGAATGAATTAAGAGCAAGCTTTTACAAAAATGCTGATCTAAAAATACTTAGCACTTGGCCTGAGATGTCTGGTGAGCATCACAGGCAAGGGGGATCTGAGGAGGTGAAAACAGGGCTCCCTGAGACTCGACCATTTTGTCATTGGAGAGCCAGTATCTCCTTGAGTAGCAGACCTGAGGACATGGCTTCTGACCCTGTCCTTTGGGAGTGGTATGAAAGGTGGAGCATTCACTGGTGACCCGGAAAGCCCAGCACCACCCTACTTCTGCTCTTCTCATCTTGACAGAGCCTGCCCCAGCGCTGATGTGTCAGGAAAACACCCAGGGAACTAGGAAGGCGCTTCTGCCTGAGGGGCAGCCTGCCCTGCCCACTCCTGCTCTGCTCGCCTCAGATCGCAGGCCTTGGCAAAGTGGCTGCATGGTGGGCGCCCTGGCGCTCCCTTCTGAGCTGGCCTCTCACTGCCTCCCCAAGGCCCCCTGCCCGCCCTGTCAGGAGGCAGAGGGAGGCAGATGTGAGGGCAGGGCAAGGAGGAAGCGCAGCCTCCCA